GGGACTTCATCAAGATCAAAAGCTTTTGCACAGCAAAGGAAACAGTCAACAAAACCAAAAGACAACTGACAGAATGGGAGAAGATATTCACAAATAACATATCAGATAAAGGGCTAGTATCTAAAATCTATAAAGAACTTATCAAACTCAACACCCAAAGAACAAATAATCCAATCAAGAAATGGGCAGAGGACAGGAAGACATTTCTGCAAAGAAGACATCCAGATGGCCAACAGACACAGGAGAAAGTGCTCCACATCACTCGGCATCAGGGAAATACAAAGCAAAACCACAATGAGATACCACCTCACGCCAGTCAGAATGGCTAAAATTAACAAGTCAGGAAATGACAGATGTTGGCGAGGATGCGGAGAAAGGGAAACTCTCCTACACTGTTGGTGGGAATGCAAGCTAGTGCAGCCACTCTGCAAAACAGCATGGAGGTTCCTCAAAATGTTGAAAATAGAGCTACCCTAGGACCCAGGAATCACACTACCGGGTATTTACCCTAAAGATACAAATGTAGTGATCCGAAGGGGAACGTGCACCCGAATGTTTATAGCAGCAATGTCCACAATAGCCAAACTATGGAAAGAACCTAGAAAGAACAAATGAATGGCTAAAGAGGTGGTATATATATACAATGGAATACTATGTAGCCATAAATACCCCTGAAATCTTACAGTGGATGACATGGACAGTGGATGGACCTAGAGGGTATTATGCTAAGCGAAATAAGTCAATCAGAGAAAGACAATGATCATATGATCTCACTGATATGAGGAATTTGAGAAACAAGACAGTGGATCATAGGAAAAGGGAGGGAAGAAGGAAACAAGATGAAACCAGAGAGGGAGACAAACCATAAGAGACTCTTAATCTCAGGAAACAAACTGAGGGTTGCTGGAGTGGAGGGGTTGGAGAAGGAGAGGGTGGCTGGGTGATGGACCCTGGGGAAGGTATGTGCTATGGTGAGTGCCGTGAATTGTGTAAGACTGATGATTCAGAGACCTGTACCCCTGAAACAAATAATACATTATATGTTAATAAACAAAAACAAAAAAAACTAAGGCTCCCACTGCCCACAGGGAGTGGCCAAGATCCTTTAGGTTAATAATCAATACCTGTCAGGTTCTGGCCCCATCCTGCCACTCTATACCTCCCTCTTGCTTATCCCTGTGCCCTGAAGCCAGAACTGCTCCTTCTTCTGCCTCACCTCTTCTAATAGACAACAGGTAGTACTGTGTTGTAATTCTGTGCTTGTGGATACGTGGTCCCCCTCGGGGCTGGGGAGAGTGTCTTTGCTCCACACTCTGGCTCAGGGCCTGCGAGTCCCCGGCCCTGGCGAATGCAGGGGATGACTCCTCTTGTACACCATCTGGACAGCCACGCACATATGGGGTGACTCAGGAGCGCTCCTGACAGCGAGTGGGGAATCCGAGAGGCTCCTTCTCACTTGGCTCCGGGCTAGAGGGGTCCATTTACTTTCTGATCAAATATGATTCTGAAGCTCGAGGCATCCTTGATGTTTGCAAGTCAGAAAAGTTTAATTACATGTGTCATTAGGATGGCATTCTGTAATGGCTCTGTGACTGAATTCATTAACAGAATTCTTAACAGATAAGACAAGACAAATTAATATTTTGTTGCCCATGAAAGCTTCTCATTAAGAGAGTAGTGAAAAAGTGATTAATATTTTGTTGCCAATCAAGATGTCTCGTACAAATGACAAAGAAAGGAGGCCCACAGTGCTCGCAGTGCTCTCTCATCTGCCTGCCTTGGGGGTTTGTAGGTGCGTCGTTCCGTGCCTGGCGCTAATTAACAGCGGGCGGTGCTGTTCCGTCTGGTGCTGCAGTGGGCAGGGGCGGCAAGGGGCTCTAGAACTCATCAATCCTCCATCTTCATTCCACTGGGGCTGCCCCCCTCCACTCCCCACCATGCTCCCCGACTCCCCATGCCCTCCTCATCTCTTGGCTGATTTCATTCTAGGGCCGCTGTTGTCACTGTCCCCAGAGCGGGAATGCCATGTAAGAACACCTGCTGTGTGCCGGGCACGGGCTACGTGATTCACACAGACATTCAGCCTGAAAATGCCTGTGGAAGGAGGATATTATCCTCCCCGTTCCCCCACAGACTCACAGAAATTCAATGCCTTCCGCAGGGCTGCTCTGGGCTTGCTGGAGGCGGCTGGTCCATGTGTCCGAGGCTGATGTGGACACCTCAGGGTCACATCTCCCTGCCTGGGGAGCCTCCCGGGGCTGCTGCTGGCTGCCTGTTGGGAACTTAGGCTGCAAGGGGCCGGGAATGCTGTTTGGCAGCAGCAGCAGTAGTAATAATAATGATGATAGTAATATAAGTAATAGTAATAATGATGAAGAGAGGGATAATAGTTCGCCTGGAACACTGTATGCTAAGACGATCCCATGTGTCTTCTCACTCAGTCCTCACTCTGACCCTCTGAGGCAGGAGTTATTATTTAGGTCTATGTCACAGAGGAGGACCCCAAGCCTTCGAGAAGTCAAGTACTCTTTCCAAATTCACTCAACTAGGAAGTGGTAGAGCTGAGGCTTCAACCCAGGTCCTTTTGTCTTCAGAGCTTGTGCTGTGCTCCGGCAGGCTGTACTGCAGAGGGAGGCCTGTGTGTGTGTGTGTGTGTGTGTGTGTGTGTGTGTGTGTGTGTGTCCCACACCTGCAGGCTTCTGGTGAGCATCCCTGGGGGGCTGGTGCTGCCCTGTGCCCCCACGTAGGGGTTTCTGGGCAGTACAAGGCCCTGCCTGTTTGCAGGCTGCTGACTTGACCATGAACAGCAAGTGTTTCCAGGGAGGTAATAAGAGGCCATTAATCTCCAGTTGCACCCACAATTAACCCAAATTGCTAACCTCACTGTGAAAAGTGGAAATGCAATTGAGTTGATGCTGGAGGCATGTTCGAGGGAGGGGAAAAACACTCAAAGTAATTTAATTAACCGATGGCAAGTGCATTAAGAGTTCTGCCTCCGCCTTTATTTCTGGTGCCTTTAAATAGAGCATCAAGTAATGCACATGGAAGTTCAGACAGACACGGGCAGATCTGTCCTAGTTTTGAATTAATCACCACTGGCCAAAAACAGTTTAAAGCTGACGCTCCACCCCGAGAGCTCTTGCACAAACAAGTCTGTGCACCCCAACACCTCCGCCGACTCTAATCATGGCAAACAGAACACTACCTCTCCTTGCTAAGATCCCAGACAAGCCCTGGGCACCTCAGGCTCAGAAGACAAAGGACTCTGCCCACTCAGCTTCTGTCCATCCACCCCCCACCAGGGTTGTGCTGGCACTGACATTCGGAGACGGGTGGGATTCAGGCTGTGCTCAGCACTGTGGGGAAACGGCAAGGAAATACTCCTGCCCCATGTGACAGGGAGAGGGAGACTCCTTGCCCAGCTGTGCCCAAGACAGAATCCCCACGGTGGTCTGCCTCTCCCCATCTGCTCACCCCATGATCTCCAGGGTGCAGCAAATGAGTAGTAGAGTCCCAACTTGGTGGTTTCTACAGAATTTTGTACTGGGATTTCTCCCCACAAAGCAATCTTGCAGTTGGGAGGAATCTTCAAGGTCATAGGATTTAGTTTGCCCTCCTGTGGCTAGTAGCATTGCTGACCATGGTCCTGCTTGAGCTTGCATTCCTCTAGGAATGGGGAGCTCACTGCTTCCTGTGATGGCTCACTCCATTTTGGGGATGCTGTGATGGATGTAATGGTGTTCCATCTCAGCAGTCCAAACTGGTTTCTTTTGGGGGAGCACCCTGGCCCTGTGTGCTTGTTGAACTCATGGGGTCACACAGCCCAGACTGGCTCCTGCGGCCCTAGTTCCTTCCTCACCACCTTAGAGATGTTCATGGAACTGACCAAGCATCCCACAGGTCTTCCTTCTCAGAGCCAAGCATCCCATTTTGTGCCAGCTTGCTTGACTAAGCCAAGAAGACCAGGAATGCCCCCCTCTTCTGCCTGAAATTGAGATGCCCCCTACTGTGGCTAAGACCTATCAGCTGTCCTGGCAGGGCCCTGCATCGGTGATGTCACTCTGTCTTCTCAATGAACTTCAATCTGGCCCACACATATCCCTGAATGATTCCCTTTATTTTTCAAGCCCCATGAAAGGGAGGGACTGCTCACATTCCCTTTCTGATACCTACTAAGAGTAGTCTAAGATGTTGCTCAAAGTCATGAGGCTGGGTTTTGGGGTGACACTGGGAGCCCAGCCCAGGCTGCCCGGGCCCTCCCAGTACAGAAGTATTTCTGCTGGTCATGTCAGGTTGTGGGTACTCAGCTGCTCTCTCTTCCACTCATGTCAAATACACGTTCCCACATCCAGCCGACAAGGCCACCAGGGCAGGCCACTCTGGACTTTCCTTCCACCTCCTCACCTGGAGCCTGCCCTCTCGCCAATGCTGGGCAGTTCACCCCTGCCCTCCACGGGAAACCATGTTCCTTCTCACCCCTCGTCTCCATCCTCCCCAGGTGTGGGCTCTGCAGTTTCCCTTGGTTCTTCCAGCCAGACGGCCTCCCCGCTCCACTGCCTCCCGTCCGGCCATGTTTGCTGTGTGCTTGTGGGCCTCCTTCACGGTGGGCTCCATCATGCAGTCGGAGCCCCTCACCTTCCACTCCCATGTCCACTGTTTGGCTTTCGCTGCTGCAGCCTGCACAGAGACCTCCCACCCGGCCCGCCCCGCCTGCCTGGGCAGCGTGCCCTTCCCTACTGTGGGTCTGGCTGGCGGGCGTGCAGCTAACATCCAGGCTATTCTCTGCATGTGGTGGGACTTGGATTTTCTGGTACTTCCAGCTCTCAGATGACAGGCTTGAAAGGCATCAAACGTGGGACGTTCAAATGAAACCCTCTCACTCTGCCACCACCAGGGCAGATTCGCAGTTACTCCACTGGGGCAGGTCTGCATGCAGGGTCAGAGCCCAGCGACTTACATTGATGTCTTCCAAGGCCATGAAGTTGAGGGCAAGCCCGTTGCGCTTCCAGACGATGGGGGGCCGCAGCTCTCCACGGATAGCGCAGGTCAGCACGGTACTCAGCCCCACAGTCACTGTGGCCACGCTGACCCTCTCCTCGGGTGCGAGGCTGAGCTGAACCACCTCTGCAGGGGGAAAGGAGAAAATCTTCAGGTGCACACCAGCATCGGGAGTCCCCACTCACAAGCAAACAACCACGGGGGTTCCCGGCAGGGCAGGCGTCCTAGGGCTTTCAGGCTCTCTACAAACTATTATGGCGTGCTGTCTAAATGCACTGATGGACACTCCCTCCTGGGGGACAGGCCACAACTTACGGGAAATGTTCAAAGATCTCTATGAGTTGGAGAAGTCAGGACCCATAGCGAGTGTAGGGAAACCATCTGCGCTATGGATTTATGAGTGGAGCCCAGAAGGTGGGCCATCACACAGGGACCGGTGGGGGGCCAGATGTACGGCGGATGCCCCACTCTGTGCTCCTGGGCCTCATGAAGTCTGGGCCTTGCTGAGTGCAGTCAAGGTCTGCTGGCTGAGCTGACAACTTTCTCATCCATCTGGGGGCAATTTAAAGGTTGCACTGTCTGAAGCTTGGGGAATGAACTGGCTGACCTTTGAAGGTTTGTTTCTGTCTGAGGATTCTTTGAACTTGGATTTGGATTTCCGTTCAGCAACCATGCACTGTAGCCTTTAATTTTTTTGAAGGGTGCTTCAGGCTGTACAAATTATTAATCCTTGCCATTTTATACTTGCTGACTGGCATTAAGACTGATCATTCTTTAGGCAAATGGGAAGCGTCTAAAATATTTGCTTGCAATCACAGGCTTTTAGAAATTTTTGGGATTTACGAGAAAATTAATTGGACTCAGGCTGTTCATATACCGACGTGCCATCAGGCTTAGAGGGAGAGTCACTAGCTCAGTGACGGTTACGGGACTGCCTCCTCCCTACTCCTCCCCCACATCTACAACTGAGAGCACTTGGGGCATCAGCCTGCGGTGGTAGTAGCTGAGGGAGGCTGGCTGGCTGGCTCTGAGGGTCTGTGCTTATCTGGGATGCTGGCAAAAATGCCGGGAGTCCTCCTCACTCTCACTGCTCTTTTGGGACTTGGGGGCCCTGCCAGGCGTGGGGCAAGACACAGAGCTAGAAACTGACCTCCTGGACTCGGCGGGAGCCCTGTGAACTGTGACCAGGCAGCATGTCTGTGCTCACACCCTCTTGTCAGCACATGTGGGGAGGAGAAGGTGGTGGGTGGGGGAGGGGCTGGAATGCAAACGCTGGCAGGTGGGATGCCCTGCAGAGCCGGTGAAGTGGCAGCACGTGTAGTCAGGTCAGATGCTGAGCGGCAAAGCTCTTACCCCACCACTGTCAGTCAGCGGCCCGGTCCCAGGCACATGAAGATGAACAAGATATACACTAGGTGCTTAATCAGTGCTTGTTGGATGGATGGATGAAAAATGGAGAAAATGGAAATAAGGAAGGAAAGGAGCCAACAGACCCATGGAGAGGGGACACTCACGCACAGGAAAAATGTGACTCCCCGTGAAGGAGCCGCAGGGGAAAGATAAGCGCCAAGTGATTGATGCCGATGCACCCAGCATAATATTTTACAAACATTAAAGTGATGCATTTCAGGTTCCCTCTTAAATCATGGCCTGCTTGCTGCCCTCCCACCTCTGAGTCATGAGGCGTATTGGTCAGGGCGGGAGAGCGAAGGCACGCACCCTCCATTGCGAACCCCAGGCTTTGAAGACTCACAGGGGATAGAGGGAGGGAAAAGGATGACAAGCTATGTGGATCTGGCTTCTTCTGTGCTCTGCTGGCCCTTAGGACTCAGAGCTGTCCCCGAGTGTAGAGGGGATACGCCTTCCTTATCGGACTCTTCCCCTGCCCTTCCCAGGGCATTGTGGGGGATGAGGGAACAGGTGAGAAGCGTGTGCCTGATGGCATGGAGGTGAGGGGAAGCGAGAGGGGCTCTAGGAGGGAGTTAATTCCTCCTCCACCTTCCCGCCTGGGGTGAGCCCATGAGGCCTGGCACACAGCCAGAGGCCCCTGGCTCCTGAGTGGCGTGGAGCAGTCCCGAGTTTCCTGGCCACACACTGGCAGATCCGTGAGGTGCTATGTACCTGTGTGCCTGAGGACCGAGGCCCTAAGGGAACACCCCTGGACCCTCCCTGGTGGTAGTGCCGGTGGGGACTGCTGGAGGCCAAGCTGTGGGGGGCATCAGATGCTGAGGCAGCCCAGATCAAGAGCAGAACCTGGGAGGACCTCCACCGAGAGGACCCAAGACAGGGTAACTGGGAGTCTGTGGTGTGGACCGCAGGTGGCAGGGGACCGCTGGTGTTTTATCCACACTCAGAAGCCAGTTTGGGGAGCAGCTGGAGATGCCGGGTGGGAACTGGAGGCATGAAGTGTTTTTCTTAGGTAGAGCATTACTTAATGCAGGCTTGTTAGAATGACCTGCTCCCATTAAGCTTTACAATGGACTGAATATTCACGCACTTTGTCCTCCCAGTGCCAGTGGGCAGGGCTTGTGAAGAAGTCTGGCGGGTCACGAAAGGAAAGGACATTTTCTCTGCCTGTTGGAACTCTAGTCCAGGGACAAGGGAAAAGAGCCACTGAGCCCTCAGGCAGCAGCCCCTGGGGGAGGCAGGACATCCCTAGGCTACAGAGCTCCTGTTCTCAAGGTGTGGTCCCTCACCACGGACATCACATCTCCCATCTTGGGGGCAATTGATGGAAATGCAGATTCCTGCCCTTCTACCTCAGGCTGGTAAGACTCTGGTGGCAGGGTGGGCATCCTGGTTTTAGCAAGCACCTCAGGGTACCCTGAGCCCTGACCACCACTGCCTTAAAAGATGGTAGGGGCGTGTCTGGGTAGATTGAAGCGGAGGGTGCGGGGGTGGGGGGCACGGATGGGAAGGTGAGGTATTCTGGTTGGCTGGGGTCTCATTTGGAATGTAAGACCTATGTGCAATGTAGGGTCCTCCATGGAACCCCAAGTTCATGTATTTCAAACAGTTTAGCACAAGGCTACAACCAAACAAAGAAGCAAAATGACAGGTGGGAGGGCTGCTGGGACGGCAGGTTCCAGCCTGCTTCCTCAGGGCTGCCGCGCTTATTTGTATGTCTGAAGATGTGCACTTTGCACGTAGGAAAGTCTCATGCAAAATTAGAACGCATGAATACTGACAGAACCATCATAATTCTGCTCCTGTCAGCTACACAGATATTAACCAAACAGCAAATATTTGGATCACTTAAAGTTTAATTAAATGAATGTTTTATTGGATTTAATGCATGTCAATATTCCCTGACTGGTTTAAAAATTCTGAAGAGATTTACGGCAACCAAAGCTCTCCTTCTGCCCTTACTCCCAGTTATTTACTGTTCAGCACACCTTCCCCAGGCGGGCCCTCCTTCCCTGCTAAGTGGCCTCCCATGGTCACTTCCTGGAGTGAAAAATGAGATGGCATCATGGGCTGGGGCTGGAGCGAGCGGGGCAGACTCTGGACTGTGGCCCTGGACATCTGACCTCCATCCAGGCCTGGCTCTGCTGGCGACGTACCAAGTGGCCTTTGGCAGGTCCCTTCCTGCCGCTTGGCCTTGGTTTGGACACCAGTAAAATGAGAGATCGCGTGAGGACGGCTCTGGGGACCGACCTTGCTTTGGGCTCCGGAACTCTAAGGATGTGTTTCTAAGTGGACAATCCTGCAGACCCTCTTCAGTCCTGCCAGGTGCTGACTGGGTGCCCCTTTCCTCGCCACCCAGGGCCACCTGCCTCTGCTCTTTGCCCGCTTGCCCACAGTGGCACCCGTGATGCCTCAACTGGCAGCAGCAGCAGCGGCCAAGCCCACAGGGGCTTCCCTCAGGATACCCCCAGAATCCTTGCTCTCCACCCCAGACACCAACAGCCTCCTGTGTGCTTACCCCCAGACTGCTCCCGTTCCTGTGAGCACCAGGGATGTTAGAGCCCTGCACAAAAGCCACACACAGCTCCTGTCACCCGCAGAATGCAGAACAGTCCCCACTGCCCACCCCCCCACTACCCGACCTCCTGCAGTACTTCCTGTGGCACCTACCAACCCCCTTCCTATTCGTCTATCCTCAGACTCTCACTCGCTCAGCCCCTCGAGATGACCTCAGGGAGGGTGTCTGGAATCTTGAAGTTTGAACATAAGGGGACACTTAGATATCTGTTGAAGATCGAAAGACACTGTCCTGCTGAATTTGACAGGACCTTTTCAGGCTTAAGCAACAGAAACGCAGAAATACTGGACCCCCTTAAGGGTGGTCTAAAAAAAGGAGGGTGGTCTAAGTTCTCATAACCAGGAAATCTAAGGAGGGTGGAGGAGGTTGTAGACGTCTGGGGGACTCCACAAGGCATGCTCTACTGGGCTGCAAGATGGTCCCTTGCTCACACTATCCCTGTGCATGGGACCCCAGAGAAGGGAACCCGATCTTCCCTGAGAATCCAGGAAACAAGCATAGGACAGAACTGTGACCTTCACACATACCTCCTGTGTCCTACCACGAAGCCATCCCTGGGGCCGGGGGACAGAGTGCTGTGCTGTCACAGGACTGACCCACACTGGCGGCCTGGGACTTGTGGCCACCACAGGGCCCCGTGCCAGGTGAGTGGAGGTGGGGATACATGTCCCGACAGAAAGGGTGTGTTGGGTGGATTGAAACCCTACGACTGCTACAGAGACTCAGAGAGGTCCTTCTCTTCCCTTTGCTCCTTCCCAGTCACACCTGGAAGGCCTGCCGTGGGGCACGGGGATGAGGGGAAGGGAAGTGGAGCCATACTGCGAAGGAAGCGAGAACCGGCAGAGGTGAAAGCTGATTTCAGCTCCTGCGGCCCATCCCCCTGGCTGCCCTTCTCTTGGGAGCTTGGGTTGGTGGTGGGGCCGTGGCCTAGCATGGGGGACTCCTCACCCTGGGCTGGGCATGAGAGGAGGGCCAGGCAGCCTGCAGTGTGTGGGGACGGCCCTGGCAGGAATTTCCCACTCCTTCCCCAGGCACAAGTGCCCAGCAGGAGACTCAGATCTACTGATACCTGTACTCTGCTCTGTGGGGCCAGGACTGCTGTGAGGGGGAAGACCCCCAGGACCACCGAGGCCTTCTGCTG